TACAAACTCAGGCCCTCCTTATATTTAGCATGAATTACAGTACCAGTTTCCTGTCTGGTCATCCTATTAATGTCTCCCAACTCATCCTTCACTACACTACAGATCTAGTTATATCATCTCTTAATTTAAAATTCTCCATTGGTTTCTTAGGGATAAAGTCCAAATCCTTCCCATGATACACAAGGCTTCTCAAGATGTGGCTCCTTCCCACCTCCTTTCCAACCTTTAATGCCTGCCAGCGGCCCAGAACATGCAATCCTCTCTCATTTCCAACCTTTGCACCTTTCCTCTGCCTAGAATGCCCTTTTCCTCTATTCACCTAGCAAATGTCTGCTTGTTCTTTACTATTCATGACACTTGTCATCTCTTCTCAAAGGCCTTCTATGGTCTCCAGCAGAGTAAAGTCCTCCTTACCCTTCATACTCTTCGAGGTCCCTGTCCACATTTCAGCAATGGACTAGGGGAGTCATGTCTCACCAGTTTCAAGACCCAGAAGGCATGCTATCAACCTCCTTTCCCTCTGTATATCCTCAACACCATTTGTGGTACCTAGGATTTGGAAAGCACTCATATGTTTGCTGAAAAAATGGCTTTTGACGAGTTTTTATGATTCTAATAGCCTAAAACAGCAAGCGGTAAGCTATTTCTATGGCAGAAACTAAGTCAGAAAAAAAAGGAAGAAATACTGATTTTTCTTTAGAAAAGTAGAGTCGGAAAGTTTAGCATATGAAGCAAACAATTACTAAAAATTAAGAGCTAAATAAAACAAAGAAAATAAATTACATTGTCTTTACCCACTCAATGGAGAAGTTATTCTTAAGTATTAGTTATAGCAAACCACAAAGGGAAAGTAAGAAAAGGAAACAGTAGTCACCTTATTTTATGACATTCTACCTCAGATTTGCTGTACACACATCAATACAGATGTAACTGCAGATATGAAAAAACTGGATTCAGATGTGCTGATATAAAACCATGCACAAACTGCATTAAGTGGAAAAAAACAGGTAGGTAATAACCTGTTCTCATTTGTATAAAAAAAAAGAGTGTGGAGAGGATATAAACATATAAGCTTTAATACTTAGAAAATGTCTGCAAAAGTACTGGCCACCTTCTGGAGACATTCTGGAGATTGTAAATAAGGCTCTGAGGCAGGAGGGAGATTTCACTGAATACTGAGCCCAACATTGATTGTGGAGAGAAAAGAAAAGAAGAGAAAAGAAAAGAAAATTACAGTGAAAACCCAGAGAGCAAAGAGAACTGAAGAAACATCAAGGAAAATAGAAGAGAAATGGCTACAAAATTTTGAAGCTGGAAAACAGACTTGATAAATTTTAGCAGACCTGAGAAATCAGGGACTAGCAGTATTTTCCAGAAAAAAGTAAACAGAGATCTCTCAGTAGAAGGCAAAGGTAAGGCCTAGACTTCTAGACTATAGTGCTAAGTACCAGTCTACTAATAACAAGTGCAAGCCCCAGCAGAAGCAGTCAGCTGTGACAATTAAAATATTTTTAGAAATGTATGAACATAAAACATTTAGCATCTATGAACATTTCACAGGAAACTATTGGAGGCCATGCTTCAGCAAAATAAGGGTGTCAACTCAGAAACTGGAAGATGTGAAATATAAGAAATGAGAAGGCCAAATCATGAGGACACCTAGGCAGTAGGCCCACAAGCAGACAGTCCAGACAAGACCAGACTACAGAGGTTTCTAGGACAGAGGTCTTGAGGAAAAAAGGAGATTGATACACTGATTTGTGTGAACATTTGTAAAAACTACCAATAGGCATGGAACAAACTCAAAAGAATTAAGGATTCCTATACAGAAATGTATAGATGTGGAAAAGAGATTTGTGTGAACATTTGTAAAAACTACCAATAGGCATGGAACAGACCCAAAAGAAATATTAAGGATTCCTATACAGAAATTTATCGATGTGCTGGGGCGCCTGGGTTGCTCAGCTGATTAAGTATCCGACTTTGGCCTAGGTCACGACCTCACAGTTCCTGAGTGCGAGCCCCAAATCGGGCTCTGTGCTAAGAGCTCAGAGCCTGGAGACTGTTTCAGATTCTGTCTGTCTGTCTCTCTCTCTGCCCCTCCTCTACTCATGCTATCTCTATCTCTCAAAAATAAATAAACACACACAAAAAAAGAAATTTATAGATGTGGAAAAGAGAAGATGAAGCAGTTCTAAGTTTAAGAAAAACAAAAAGTTGTATAAGAATGGAAATGTACGGGCTCTGTGCTGACAGCACGGAGCCTGCTTAGGATTCTCTCTCTCCCTCTCTTTCTGCCCCTCCCCCACTCATGCATGCTCTTGCTCTCTCCCCCTCAAAATAAAAAAAAATAAACTTAAAAAATGTAAACAATGGCAATAAAAAACAGTATGGAGAAGAGAGAAAGGTTATAAGAGGTAGTTAATAGGTAATGCCTAATATAAATTAAGAAATGGGCATATTACTTAGAAAAAAAAATAATCTGTAAGTGATGGGGTACAGGGTTGTGGTCTACACTGTGTTTTTGAAACTGATTTTTTAACTGACATACACTGATACAAATGATTTCTATTTTCATTAATCATCATTTTGTTATTCAGTAATTACAAGACTGATATTATGAAATAATGTGAATTTGTTGGGTTCAGCAGCAGAAGCCACTATGGACACTTTTTGCTAATATGGTTTTTAAAATTTAAAATACCAATAAAGTCTTGCCAGTCTAAATACAAAGTAAAAAGGCACTGTATTCTTTGCTCTTGTAGCAGTAAAGAATCTATCCCCAAATCCAACTTACATTTAACAGTGTAAATCAAATCTGTTAGTTTGATAAGTGAGATAAACTACTCAAAGTTCCTTCCAAGAAAAAAATGTCACAAATGTGCTTTGGTAAACATAGAATCGGAGTCAATGTTTTTCTATCCAAATTCTACCTGTTTTCAGTCATCATTAATTTCTCTATTATCATGATTCTTGTAAACTGATTCGAATTTAAAATTGAATGACTGGGGCACCTGGGTGGCTCAGTCGGTTGAGCGTCCGACTTCGCTCAGGTCACGATCTCACAGTCCATGGGTTCGAGCCCCGCATCAGGCTCTGTGCTGACAGCTCAGAGCCTGGAGCCTGCTTCAGATTCTGTGTCTCCCTCTCTCTCTGGCCCTCCCCCTGTTCATGCTCTGTCTCTCTCTGTCTCAAAAATAAATAAATGTTAAAAAAAAAAAATTAAAAAAAAATAAAATTGAATGACTACCTAAAATGAGTAATTTCTCTTGCCCATGAAAGAAAAGAAATGCTTTTCAATATCCTCTTTCAGGCATGTACTTTCTTTAGATGTATCAGTAACAATTTTTAAAAATAAAGTAACAGAAAACTGGACTAAGCAAAAACAAACAAACAAACAAACCCACCAAAAAAAACCCTGAATGTAAAAGAGTAATAAAACTCTTTACAAAATGTAGGTTCCTCCCATCCCAAAAATGATTCTCTAAAAACTACTATTCTCATTTCAGACTGTTTCACTTTCTGGGTTTCTAGATCCAGAAACAAAATCAAGTCCAGGGTCTGAAGAAGGCTTTATTAAAGCAAGAGCATCATGCAGAACAGCACAAAAACTGAATACAATGACATACTTCTAAAGGACTGGACATACTTCTCCATACACTCTTCATATTTCTAGTTTAATGAGAAATGAAGAGTCATCCGTATTGTATTCAGTTTCCAAAACTGTGCTAATAAGAAAAGAATTTATTGAAAAACTTGTAAGAGCTAAAGTAAAAACTCAAAGTTCATATCCTCCTTTAAGAAGAAAGTAATGATAACAACAACAAATATTTAAATAGTGCCAGGTATTGTTCTAAGTGCTTTACAAAGAAATTGAGGTACAGATAAATTAATTAAATTTCCCAATGTTTATTTAGCTAGTAAGTAGTAGAGCCAAGACTCACATTGGCAAGCTGACTTTTAAAAAGTACATATCTGGGGCGCCTGGGTGGCTCAGTTGGCTGAGCATCTGACTTTGGCTCAGGTCACATGATCTCACATTTTGCAAGTTCGAGCCCCTGCGTAGGGCTGTGTGCTCACAGCTCAGAGCCTGGAACTTGCTTCGGGTTCTGTGTCTCCCTCCCTCTCTGCCTCTTTCCCACTCACACTCTGTCCCTCTTAAAACTAAATAGACATTAAAAAAATTGTTTTGGGGCGCCTGGGTGGCTCAGTCGGTTAAGCGTCCGACTTCAGCTCAGGTCATGATCTCGCGGTCCGTGAGTTCAAGCCCCGCATTGGGCTCTGTGCTGACAGCTCAGAGCCTGGAGCCTGTTTTGGATTCTGTGTCTCCCTCTCTCTGACCCTCCCCGTTCATGCTCTGTCTCTCTCTGTCTCAAAAATAAATAAATGTTAAAAAAAAATTGTTTTAATAAAAATAAAAAGTACATATCTAAATCAAGTTTTTAGAATTTTTTTATGATTGATAAACTTTTATTAAAGAAATACCTGTTAATTCTAATTTTATCCTAGTATCTAATTCTTAATCTAAAATCTTAAAAACAAATGGTACAGTGTACTATAAACAAATATGTATATATATCATATATATACATATGATATATATATATATACATGTATAGAAAGAATATATAATAAACCATGTCAGTAAAACTAAATACCACAATACTATATAAATAAAGCAATATATATGTAAAAGTTTCTTTGTAAATCATACTTGGTTAACAATCAATCCATGTATTTAAAAGTTTACTACAATTTCCAAAGAAAATTTTCAAATATGTGGAGTATTAAGCAAGTAGGTCCTTTTTTTAAATCACCATGAAGGAGTAATTGCTGTTTAAGACCATGATGAAAGCAACAGCTTTTTATACATGGAACAAATAAAAATGGAACTGGATTAAAATGTAACAAATAGAAGATGTCATAAATTCAAATAACGTAAGTAAAAATAAGCATGTAATATATATCAGCTACATACCAATACGGACTATTTTCCTTACCTGCCAGATAGAGGGCAAATGATATAAATCTATGGTAGCGAATGAGGAACTGAAGTTGCTCTTCTCTTTGAACAAATGTAGCAAAATAATCGGCTACGGTCTCTCCATAGAAAAAGTAGTTTACACACAGTAGAAAGTACCTATAATTGAAACACAATTAGCTTTTTCATATTTGAAGCCTTTTTTTCCCCTCTCAAACTCAGCAAAACTATTCTCTATATTTTCATGATGTCACAAAGATCAAAAACTAAGTTCAGGGGGCGCCTGGGTGGCGCAGTCGGTTAAGCGTCCGACTTCAGCCAGGTCACATCACTCAGATCCGTGAGTTCGGCCCCGCGTCAGGCCTGGGCTGATGGCTCGGGCCTAGCCTGTTTCGAATTCTGTGTCTCCCTCTCTCTCACTCCCGTTCATGCTACCTTCTCTCCCTCCTTCCCAAAAATAATAACGTTGAAAAAAAAAATTAAAAAAAAAAAAAAAAAAAAACTAAGTTCAGGACACAGGTTCAGGATATTCCACCAAAACATTTTTTTCCTCTTTTAAACTTAATTTCAAATGTGTCAGTCAACAAAAGTTTACTGAATACAGCTCACGCCTCTACTTAGCTCAAAATCTAGTGCCAGAGATTGGGAAACAATGTAAAAAATACTATGCATACCCAAATACACACACACACACACAGACGCACACAGATAAACACACACACATGCACGCAGATACACACACACACACACACACACACACACAGTATTTTATAATGAAAATCCACTTTCAACTAACTATTCACAGCTCTAAAGCTTTTTAATAGTGGAGATTCTAAGCCAAATTCCCACCTGCCCTGAGGAGGAAATCAATAGGGAAAGCAGGAAGAGGCAATTCAACCTCTGACCGATCCTCACTGCATTACGCATATTGGTGTCTTTCTCCCCCTCCTCCATGTTCCAGATGGACTCCAGATGCACACGGATTCTTTTTTTCAATTTTAATGTTTTTTCATTTTTTGAGAGAAAGATGGAGACAGAGTGCAAGGCGGGTAGGGGCAGAGAGGGAGACAGAATTTGAAGCAGTCTCCAGGCTCTGAGCTGTCAGCACAGAGCCCGATGCGTGGCTCAAACCCACTAACTGCAAGATCGTGACCTGAGCAGAAGCTGGATTCTTAACTGACTGAGTCACCCAGGCGCCCCCAGTTGCACAGTGATTCTTAAGAGGAAGTAGTGGGGGATAGAAGCAGGCAGCAGGTAAAAATCTCTAAGAGAAACTTTTTTTTTTTTAACGTTCATTTATTTTTGAGAGAGACAGACAGACAGAGCATCAGCAGGGGAGGAGCAGAGAGAGAGAGACGCAGAATCTGAAGCAGGCTCCAGGTTCTGAGCTGTCAGCACAGAGCCTGACGCGGGGCTCAAACTCACAAACCGTGAGATCATGACCTGAGCCGAAGTTGGATGCTTAACTGACTGACCCAGGCAGCCCTCTAAGAGAAACTTCTTAAAACTGCGTAAATCAGGGGCGCCTGGGTGGCTCAGTCGGTTAAGCGGCCGACTTCAGCTCAGGTCATGATCTCACGGTCTGTGAGTTCAAGCCCCACGTCAGGCTCTGTGCTGACAGCTCAGAGCCTGGAGCCTGTTTCAGATTCTGTGCCTCCCTCTCTCTCTGACCCTTCCCTGTTCATGCTCTGTCTCTGTCTCAAAAATAAATAAACATTAAAAAAAATTAAAAAAAAAAAACTGTGTAAATCACCCGTCCCTCCACCCAATTCTGATATATCCCTCCCCCCCAGGGAAAGGAGAACCCATGAGAATTGACTGATGGCACTTGTGTGAGCCAGGAAAGAAGGCTGGGAAGCACCGCTTCAGAGTTCCTCCGTGCCTCACCCTTTGAAGGGCCGAGTCCTACTCGGCCAGGAGAGCAGAGGAGGAAAGGAGCGATTTCCCTCTGGTCCTCATGGATGGAATTAGACCCCACAGTTTTCAAAGTAAAGTACTGTATTCCCATTTCTATCAGCTGCATTACCATTTTTCTATTCTCCTACAATGGAAACTGTCTTTGACTCCTCCATCAAGCTATCAAGGCCTGCCCTAGTCCACCAACCCAACTTTTCCCCCATTATTCTGCTCAAGAAGGCCAGGAATGTCTTTGCCTCTGTGGCATGTTCCTCCTAGTCCCTCATCTAGAACTTGATAGGTGATGCTTCCCCACTGCGGAGCACTCTTCTCTATCCAAAACTTGTCTTTATTTCAAGTGATAGTTTGTTTCTCACCTTCTCCATAAATACTTCTGCAATCACTGGAGCCCATCCTGACCTATGTCTTTTTTTCTTAGAATTGATCAATCCTGCATGGTTCAGCATTTAATTATTCTCCAACTACTTAATCTAACATTTCCCATACATTTTGCCCTTCGTGAAGAAACTTGCCATAAGGAAAAATTAGAAACTATTTTTTGACTACTCTAAACCCCAAAGGTGATACATCTGTTTTCTTAAGACACTGGACCCTCTGGCTGATACTAATCAAACAGCTATATTCAAAGGCATGGTCAATTTGGTTCTTTATGAACTATTATATTATCATGTTTCCTTCCTGGTCAAGGTCTTGATAATTGAGAACTATAACTGAAAAGTTATAAAAAGATATATTAAACTTTAAATATTAAAATCGCATGCCTTTTTTTAAACTAAGTTTTACATGCATGGTACATATACAGTATTTCAAGTGCTGGTAACTGCTGGTGCTATTTACAAGACTGCCTTACACACTGCTCCTCAGAGAGTATTACTCTTCTAACAACCCTCCCTGTAGCAGGTCACCAGCCAGGGGCCTGAAGACAAGATCAAACCAGGAACAACAAAGGTAGGAGCTGCCTCTCCTCTAACTGCCCCCAGGGCCTACAAGGAGGTGGGCCAGCTTTGCAGTAGTGGGGAAGGAAGGGTGGGGGGGGGGGGGGGGGGGGGGGGGACAGACATTCATCAAGGGCTTTCTTCCCCATGAATAAACCACTGACCACTCAACAAAACAGAAAACACAACTATTTTCATATCTCATCTTTCACTCTCTGCAGAAATAATCTAATTCTGTGTGTGCTCTCATTTCAACTGAGGCAAAAGAAAGCAAAAGATTACACATATTTCTAACATTTTACAAAACGAAACTTTATTAAAATTGTAACTATAAAGGATATAAAAAGGTGTCCAATACAATGTTTTTTAAAGAAGACAACAGCGCAGGGGCACCTGGGTGGCTCAGTAGGTTAAGTCCGACTTCGGCTGAGGTCATTATCGCACAGTTCGTGACTTCAAGTCCCACACTGGGCTCTCTGCTCTCAGTGCAGAGCCTGTTTGGATCCTCTGTCTCCCTCTCTCTCTGCCCCTCCCCAGTTGTCACATGCTCTCTCTCTCAAAAATAAACATTAAAAATGTTTAAAAAAAAGAGGTCAATAGTGTATACATTCAAATATAAAGTATCTCTACAAAGACTGAAAGATGAGATATGAAAATAGTAGTGTTAGAAAAGGAGAGTTAAAGGTGATTTTCTTCTTATCAAAATCCAATTGCATTATTTTTATTTATCTTTCTCCAAAAATCAATCTATAAGGTCAACTGTGTGATACTGACTCATCAGGGTGCTTCCTTTAAAAACTTTAGAAAAGAACCAGATTTTCACATCTGAAACAGTTTTAAGTTACTTACCAGCTCAATGTTCTAAACCATGGCAGGTCATAAGAACGATAGACTCTATAACCTATAGTGATAATTTCATGGAAGCATTTCACTTGGATGCCTAGTACCTGAAACCAAGAGAACACATTAACATACATTTCTTAGTGTTTACATTTGTGCTTAATCATTTAATAAGTCATTTCTTATGTCATATGTGTTTAAAAAAATCTTTAATCTGCCCAGTTTTAATTATTCTAAATGTCAGTAGCAAAAATTCAGTAAGTCAATGTCTCTAAAATCAAGCGATATTTCAAAGGGGTAAGCAAATGAAAGTTTATCCAAAACATGAAAGCTCCATCCTGGGGTAGGAGGTCGCACTGTAGCTTAAAGTTTGAGGGATACAGTCTTGTTGGTCATGGTTGATTAGGCTTTATCTCTCATTACTACTTCATTTCTTGAGTTCATCTGTACTAAGATGGACAATCTTTTCGTCCATTTTGTTTCTTGAGTTACCCTAGAAAAAGGATCATATGTGGAAGTTTGCATTTATTGATTTACTTAGAGAGCCCGTGCATGGGGGGGTGGGGGGGAGGGGCAGAGAGAGAGAATCCCAAACAGGTTCCGCACCGTCAGTGCAGAGCCTAACGTGGCTCTAATTCATGAACTGTGAGATCATGACCTGAGCCAAAATCAAGAGTCAGATGGTTAACCAACTGAGCCACCCAGGCGCCCCTGTATATATTTATTTTTAACCATACATCCTGGTATGCCTTCCAAGGATAAAGCCACGGTCAAAACGAATGACTGTAATTAAAACATCTTCACCCTGTCACCTAGCAGGGTTTGGGCACGGTCTTTTCATTCTTCCAGCTGTGCCAACTCTCACATAGCCAGCTGCATATCTGTCTGATACATCTAAGTGGAGTTACACTGGCAAATGATAAATAGCCTTCTACATTTGCAGCCACTTCACCCGGTCAATTGATTCTATGCAATTCTGTTTGCACAGTGTTCTTTATACATTCCTAACAAATTGTTTTATATTTATGAATCCTTTTTTGATGGTCTACTTAGTAGTCCTTCAAACTGTTGTATCCACCAACTTGGGTACAGGTAATCCCTGAGGATGCAGCATCATATCTAATGCTTGGTTTCAGTCAATTCCAAGACTCGAAAAACAAGTGGCAAGTTGAACACTTATTACCATGAGCTAAGAGATTAAAATCTTTATGAGTATAGCAGACTTCTTCAGCCTCTGGAGAATATACTCAAGGGCTTGGTCTTGTACAGCCTGCGAGCTAAGAATGGATTTGATATTTTTTTTTTAGTTAAAAACAAAAACTAAAAATGATGTTACAGAGAAATATGTGGTTCCTTAAAGCCTAAAATATTTTTACCTGTTTCTATACTCAAAAAGCTTACCAAACTCTGCCCAAGAATATACTTTGGTATTTCCTTTTAAGCTCCCCCAAAATCAGCTTTCCCAAACCTACTGTTCAGGATATTCTTTTTTTTTTTTTTTTTTTTAAATTTTTTTTTTTAACGTTTATTTATTTTTGGGACAGAGAGAGACAGAGCATGAACGGGGGAGGGGCAGAGAGAGAGGGAGACACAGAATCGGAAACAGGCTCCAGGCTCTGAGCCATCAGCCCAGAGCCCGACGCGGGGCTCGAACTCACGGACCGCGAGATCGTGACCTGGCTGAAGTCGGACGCTTAACCGACTGCGCCACCCAGGCGCCCCCGGATATTCTTAAGCTATATTTCTCCATTATACCTATTGTGTCCAATCACATACTTAAAGCAATTGTGTCCCCTCAGCCATATGCTAAGAAAATATTAGGTCAAACTACTATAAATAGTTATTTTAAGAAGAAGTCATTAATGTTTTATAATATAAAGACAAGAGGAAATTCAAATATTGTCCTTCAATAAGCTTTGAATGTGTCAAAAGTTATTTTTTTTAAATAATCACAAAATGGGGACAATGCTAGGTGTTAAAATAAAATGGCAAAGCCTGTACTATTTATAGAACCAAGGGCTTTTAAACTATCAAATGCACTGATGCAATTTCTATTTGCTAAATGAACACATTTGCTCAAGAACAACCATTAGCACTATACATGATATTTTACTGAGAGGAAATAAAACTACTTTTAATAGCACACACATACATATTTATATGATTGTCAATTACAGTTTGCAAGTAGAATCAATATAGAGCCACTGGGAAAACAGAAAACAGGGGGTTCACAACAGTACAGCTAAAATCCTTAAAATGTATGTGTATCTTCCAGGCTGGGTGATCACCCGGAAACTGATATTCCAGGCCACCAATACTGGTAGCCGTGCACACTGGCAGGACTCTGTTGGCTCAATAAATGTGTTAAGAGCCTTAAAGACAACCACCAATATTTAAATGCCTACTCTGCTAGTTACTGAGGATTCAGAGAAATAATACAGGATATCTGTCCTCAGAGAGGCATAGTCTGTCAAGGAGGACACAAATGGCTACAACGCCACGTGGAAACTGCCACATGGATATAAGCATGGGCAAACAAAACAGGGTGGGGGGTAGAGATGGGCCACAGTTGGGGCAGAGGAGAAAGATATACAGAATTACATATATGGGAGAAGACGAGGCATGTTAGGGAACTACAAGTATTTCAGAGTTGCCTACTCACAGAGATGGGGGTGAGAGGCAGAGAGAGACAAGAAGCACAGCAAACAGTACAAAGGACTACACGTGATCAGATGTGTGTGTTTGGGGATAGGAGAGGTGGAAAGAACAGACTGGAGAGGCAGCAAGAGTAGAGAGAAAGTAAGGCAGGCAAGATGCCACCATCCAGTTGAGTGTAGATGAACCTCTAACTGGGCGAGCGGCGGGGAAGTGGAGTACAAGGAATAAGACATTGAGGAAGCAGAACTGGTTGGATTTGGTGGCTGAGGAAATGGGGGGGGGGGGGGGGGGGGGGGGGGGGGGGGGGAGTGGCTAAGGGAGTCAGAGGAACACAGAGTAACACCAGAGAAGGCTTTTGGGAAAGGAGACATATTTATGCAGAATGGATGGGGATGGAAGGGAAGTTCAGATTTGGATATGTTGAGTTTGAACTATGGTATTTATGGGTTATCCAAATAAAAATGCCTATTTTCACTTTGGGAATCTATTCAAAGAAAATAATCCTGCATATGAAAAAGCTTTACATTCTATTATGTTCAGGATAGTATTATTCACCATAGAGAAAACCAAAACATAACCCGAATGTCTGAAAATAACACAGAGGTTCAAATAACTTATGATACATTCCATTCCATTCAGTCAAGGAATGTATTAATGTTGATGGTTGTAAAGATGGAGCAACACAAAACACTCGATAAAATACTTAGTTCAAAAGAGCAGGATACAAAATTCTAGTCATGTTATGATTACAACCATGATTTTTAAAACATACAAGAAGAAAAGGACTAAAAGAATATATCAAATAGTATTAATTGGGTTTTGGTAGTTGATGATAGGGCTACGGGTGATTTTCAAAAAATTAACAATTTCCCCAAGTAATTTTAACACACTTTTATAACTCTCACAATGGAAAAAAAAAAAAAAACTACTTAAAACTAAATTATACATGTGAATTAAAACTTATTATAGGAGTTTCCAAGAAGGTGAAGGTGAGAACCTCTTACACTATCTTCCTCTAAATCAAAGTATGCTTTAGTAATTCCATCACCTAGAAAGTGTGATTCCAGGGTGCCTGGGTGGTTCAGTCGGTTAAGCATCTGACTTTGGCTCTCAGATCATGATCTCATAGTTCATGGGTTAGAGCCCCGCGTCAGGCTCTGTGCTGACAGCTCAGAGCCTGGAGCCTGCTTCGGATTCTGTTTCCCACTCTCTCTGCCCTTCTCCCACTCAAGCTTGGTCTCTCTCTCTCTCCCCTTCTCTCAGAAATAAATAAACCTAAAAAAAAGTTTTTAAAAAAAGTGTGATTGCAAGCTATGAATGTAACATGTAAGTGCTATAAATAGAAGATTGAAGAAAAAAAAGTTCCTGTATGATTCCATCTTAAAGTAGTAGCTATCATTTGGTAGAAATAAGTTTTTAATAAAATTCTCTTGAATCAATCATTTACGAGTGCTGATATTGTAGGGCAAATGCAAGCCTCTCAAAATATAAATGACCTAGTTAGGGATATGAGCATAAATAAGACTTGAAATCACATAAAAGTAGTATCACAATTGAGTACCAACAGTGTGTGCATATGTGTATATCCACCCATATTTCCTTAATATACGTATCATAAATACAACATGTGTATGTATGCATGGTACATGTGTGCATGCATTACAATAAACCTAAATAAGAGCAGTAACAGTTCAAATCTACTTAACTCGATCTTTAATATTCTTCTGATTAAGCTCACCAATGAAACAGAACTCGTATTAAAATGGTATTTTCCTTTCACAACAGAAAAAATAAACAAGAAAGCTCAAGTACTTTAGGTATGCTTATGATTCTCTTTTAAAAAACCAAAATCCAAATATGCAAGGATATCTTTAAAGGTGTTTTGAATTTTCTCGTAAAAGGGTGCTTGAAAATTAGTCTCTATCTGCAAATTCTGGCCCAAGTTACCACACCAAATGGTTTAGTTTGGAGAACAATGTAACTTACTCACAGAGAGCCCACCAGACCAGCCTGTGTCCATGTATCAAGGATGCTGGTGCTTTACAATGTCTTAGATCAAAATTACCTCCTAAAGGGGAATAATAATTTAAATGATCTTTAATATTTCCAATGGCTCCCCAATCCTTTACAAATAAATCCTAAACTTCTTCACACAGTATTGCAAGGCCCTCTAGCATCCGATCTCCAATTATTTTTCCAAGTTCAAAGGCCCTATGCTCCAGGAAAAAGACATCATTTGCCTTTTCCTGACACATCTAGCCATTTGGACCTTTACTCTCGGTGCTCACTCCACCCTGAAAGACCCTCAAGGTCTGATGAAAGGTCCCTTCATCCACAAAGCCTTACCAAGCTGTCAGCTATCACCCAATCCCTTTGTCCCCTGGCCCATCACTCAGCACACAGCACTGAGAAGTGCTCTGTACCCACTCACTCCTGAAAGGCCCAAACTCACTGGCACTCACAACCCTCCATAGGTGCACACTGAGAAGAAAAGAAGTGGGCCCTTCCCTGGAGTCACACCTGGACCGTGCTCACACCGGCCTACCTGGTTTTTAGACTCAGCATCTTCTGGCCTCACATTAAAGAGGTCCTATGCACTATCCATTGTTTTTCTGTGAGAAAAAGTTCTTTACGATGTCAGCAAAAACAGAACAGAGAAGGTGATTTCTTATTCACTCCTGTTACCTTGATACCCCCAAGGAAGTACAAAATTAATGAGGGAACAGAAAGAAAGTGAAAGGGCTTGATGGTCAGGAGTTGATGGGATTTTTTTCCCCAATCGTGTCTGATTTCACTTCAAAACTTATTTATTCTTTTATAGACTGAAAGGAAAACCGTATCATATTGCCCATGCCTATCACTAGGAATAGGACTGGGCATGGAGGGGAGCAGACAAGTTGGAGCAGCCAGAGAGCGAGGTGGTGAGGGTGAAAGAGGCTCAATTAAAGGAGATGAGATGAAAAAGAAACAACAAAAAAGAGGGACACTGTGCATATCCCTGAGAGCAAGGCTCTCCCTGTGCTAAACACACTCAGCACCCTCAAGTGCTTGATGAATCTATTAAACAAACGCAGGTCTCCTTCCCACTCCCACCACTTCCAAATGTTTCACGCTTCTTTGGATATCAAGGCTTTCATAAACAGGAATCCTCTGCTGTGACACTCCTGTCCCCAAGCTCCCCCTTTACCCCCCACCTGTTCAAGCTTTAAACTGCAGCACACGTGCTGGACAGGATGCCTCTGGAAAGTCTTCCAGATCCCCCCTTGCTCTCATAGCACCCTATCCTATATAAATATATTCTCTCTATATGTATATTTGGGCGAGAACGCACATGCACAAGCAGGAGAGGGGCAGACAAGGAGAATCTCAAGCACACTCCACGCTCAGCATGGAGCGCAAAGCAGGGCTCGTTCCACAACCCTGGGAACACGACCTGAGCAGAAACCAAGAGTCAGACGCTCAACCGACTGAGCCACCCAGGTGCCCCTGTAATTATATTTCTGATCAGTTCTTTGAAGCACAGACAGTAAACTCCCCAGGGAAGAGACATGTGTGCTTTTCTCAGCACTGCTGTATCATACCCCAGAAGCAGCACAATGCCTGCGCATCTTGGGAGCATTTACTAAACGAATGATTTAAAATCTTAAAATACTTGTCTGGCTTCATGACTTGTTGGACTTCCCATACACAACAAAATCCCACACTCCCAAAATGGCTTCTGTGCACCTCTCTGGTCTCATCCCTAGACACCCTCCAAAGGCACCAGTTGCAAATCCCCCAACAAACCACACTCTCTCATTATCTCCATGTCTTGCTTATGATATCCCCACCTTGGAAGGCCCTCTCCTGTCCAGCCCCTTCTTCAGGGTTTAACTTTGGCATAAACTCTTCTGGAAGTCCTCTCTGCTCTCTTTCAGGCTGGTTTAGATACTTTTTTTACTGTGCTCTCCCAAAAAGTTACCCACTTATTTACTATACTATTTATTCATATGGTTACTTATATATCTGTGCCATTAGATTGAATTCTTTCAAGTTAGGGATCTAGCTAATAGTTCCATATGATCATGTCATGAGTGTGTGAAGTCGTTAGCAATCCCTAATACTACGTATTACATATACTTGGTCTCTGCTGAGTGAATACACTGAATGGCCATTTTGCAAAGAGGAAAGGTTGGTCCAGATAATTTCATGAACAAGAAAATGCTTAAGGGAAATAAATTTGTTGTTACCAAATCCTGAACTACTTTATTTTTTATGACATGTTCAAATTACTTCAATCATATCAGTGCTGAAAAACAAAGCAAGAGATACTTGGAAAAATGTAAAACACTTACAAGAAGCATCAGCATAAAGGATCCCATATAGATGATCAGGAAAAACAATGAAATCATAGTTAGAGTAAGAATTCCACGAATCCACCAGTTTTTCCACCTATAAAGAAAATGTTTATAAAGTTAGTGTTTAATGTATTGAGTTTTTTGTGTGGTTTCAGTATTATCAGACTTTCATATTTTCCCTAACTATATTTTAAGAATCCCTTACTTCAGGGCACCTGGGTGGCTCAGTTGGTCGAGGATTCAACTTCGGCTCAGGTCATGATCTCACAGTTTGGTTCATGAGTTCAAGTCCCATTTTGGGTTCTCTGCTGTCAGTGCAGAGCCCACTTCAGATCCTTTGCTCCCCTCTCTCTGCTCCTCCCTGACTTGCACTCTCTCAAAAATAAATATTAAAAAAAAAAAAGAATCCCTTACTTCACCTGTAGTAACAACAAAAACAAAAATCTAACCAACAGCATTTGTTCACTCACTCAGAGCTAAATTAAGTGTAAAATTATGTTAGCCAAAGAAAGAAACTAATTTTTGTTCAGTGTGAATGAGGATGAATCACTAGGCTGGGAAGTGAGGTGGCCAATGTGGATATGTGCACACCCCACCAGGGTCATTGAGAAGGGAAGATGGCAGGTGCAAAAAGCCCTCTGTAAAGATGATCTATCCTTCTCTCCCTCAAAATAAACAAAAAAAAAACTTAAAAAACACTTTTTTAAGGGGTGTCTATGTGGCTCAGCCGGTTAAGTGGCCAACTCTTGATCTTAGCTCAGGTCATGCTCTCACAGTCTCTGAGTGTCAGCAACATGAGGTTCTGTGCTGACAGTGCAAGCCTGCTTGGGATTTTCTCTTTCTCCCTCCCTCTCTCTGCCCCTCCCCAGCGCATGCATGCACACACTTTCTCTCTCAAAATAATAAATAAACTTAAAAAAGAAAACCATGATCTATCCTTTGGGGTGGTATATAACAACAGTGATTTTATTGAGGTGGTATAGACAGAGAACACAGACTTCCAATGAGAGAAAGTAAAGAAAGGATAATACAGAAGCCAACTACAGAGCACAGAAATCTCAGTGAAATGAAGAAGGCAAGCAGGTCAGTCACTGAGGGCAAGGCCAGACGGATGATCACTTTCTCCTAGAGCTCTAAGTGTGCTGCTGGCTTTCTGCACTTAGACACAGAGTCTTAAAAGCACAACATTATTTCCTCATCCTTGGGCCTTTAATTGTTCCTTAGAGCAGGCCTTCCCTGTTGAATGTCTGGCTAGGCTAAGAACTCATCTCCCTCAATCCTCTCTGGCGGTTAGGAAGGGCCCAGGGTGCCCAACAGCCCTCCCCTCACACCCAGGACACTCACGTTTCACCCCCAGCATATTTGACAGATACTGTCACTATTTCTTTGGCTATGTCATGAAAAATGTCAGCAGCCACTGTGTAAAACCAAAAGGATTCTAATAACACCTATATATGGATATTTCTGAATCTAAAATTGTTTCCCCCTGCTTTTCTTCATTCTACACTCATTTTACATTATACTCACAGCAAAGTTTTAAGACTTTTCTTATGTCTATTAATTCAAATGGCAGCATTTAAATTATGATACAAGATACCTGGATTCATCTTAAAGGATAGTAGCATACATACACATACACACATATATGTACACACACATGCATGCACACACAGTGTTCTAAGCACAGGCTTTCATTCTCCTCTCTATAAAAAAATTAGCTGACTTCATCCATTTATCAAATATTGATTACATTCCCTGCTCTCACCAATATTCCAGATATTTATTAAATATCCCTTTTATGAGGTCATTTCTGTACTCAAGGTCTAAAATGTCAACAACATTAAGTCCAAACTCTTTCACCTAACTTCCACGGTTTCTCATGAGGTGGTCACATTATACTTAGACGACTTTCCTTCTCTCTGCTGTGTGATAAACTATGTGGCTCATAAATTTCTCATTAGACTCTCGGCTTTAGGACTGAACCGAAATGAGCAGAGAGTCAAAAACTGTTAGAGCTGAAAGGTTCCACTGAGTTTTATATACATAACTCTTTATGGATTAATGAATAGATTTGGGAACTGGGCTAGGTCACAGAGCTAGTCAAAGGTACATAATGGACCATAAACCAGTCTCTAATGATAACAGAGATAATGATAGTGATCCCGTCCTGTTTGCATGAAACCCAGAAGCGTATTTAGCTCTCCTGTATAACTGATCCTCAGAGTCAGAATTGTTCAGAACCCATAGAAGATGACAGACACTACATAAGTGTCACCAATCAGTCCCTAGGTGGATGTTGCCAATGTCCACATGTACCTCTGTTAGACGCCTCTGGCTTTGAACTTCAGAGGATGGTAGCTGCTGAGGAACCAGAGATCTTAAACAGAAGACCTACTTTCTTCCTACCGTCCAAAAGTTCCGTGATAACTGAAAACCTGAGCCATCAAGAAACATATTTCACCTAGTTATCTTTTATATACCTATTTCCCTTCCCAGAAAAATTCCCCTCCCCCAACAAGGTGAAAGACTAATTCTCTTAATTATTTTCACAGACTCCTCAAATTTCTCAAGAATACTTAATACAAAGAAAATAAAAGAACATACTTATACATATCCATGGATACAGTGACTGAAAGACATCTTTTAAGGGAGAACCACTGAATTCAAAACAGAGCACGATATGAAGGGAAAAAAAAATCACTGTTACCAAAAACCAGAGGATAACCTGATTCTGAATTCAAATTATTGATTTCTTTTACCATACTACCATGAGCACATTAGAGACAGCCTTGATTTCAGGTCCAAGTTATCATCACCTCACAATTGCTTTGGAAAAAGGAACTCAGAATCAATATAGGAGATTTTCGTTCAAGTCCCTTATCTCCAGAACTATATGAGCTAGAAATGAGGTTTCTAAAAAGTATATAATTCAGGAGTCTCCTTACAAGTGGTTATCTAAAGTGGTCATATATACTTATTGTTCAAATCAGTTACGAGATGTACAATGTTTTACTGTCACTACAGATATTGAGTGGTTTTTATTTCAAAAGTAATGATGAGGTTTAAAAAAAAAAATATTTTCCTAGGGACACAAACATCATGAGTCATCAAGAACCTGGGCTGGCAAAGCAGTTCACCTGAGCCAAGAATCGGTACACAGAGACACTCCTCAAGAATAAATAAGTACTGGGGCGCCTGGGTGGCTCAGTCGGTTAAGCAGCCGACTTCGGCTCAGGTCACGATCTCACACTCAGTGAGTTCGAGCCCCGTGTCGGGCTCTGTGCTGACAGCTCAGAGCCTGGAGCCTGTTTCAGATTCTGTGTCTCCCTCTCTCTGACCCTCCCCCATTCATGCTCTGTCTCTCTCTGTCTCAAAAATAAATAAACGTTAAAAAAAAAAAATTAAAAAAAAAAAAAGGAAAAAAAAAAAGAATAAATAAGTATTTTGTGGGCCATCTGGCAAGAAAAGTTTTTGAAAAAGTCCATCTACCAGCCATTGGAGGTTGGACAGGAAGTGTGCAAGTTCTTGGAGAGAAGGAAAATGGCATGATACAGTACAAGAGCACCCAGTATAAGGCTATGCCTGTATGTTTCCTTGGTTTCTCAACCTCAGTGCTAATAACGTTGTGAGCCACAGAATTCTTTGTTGTGAAGAGCTGTTCAGTGTACTATAGGATGTTTAACATCCTCCCCGGCCTCTACCCATTATCTGTTAGTAGTGCTATCTCTTGTGACAACCTAAAATGTCTCCAGTCAATGCACATGTCCACTTGTGCAGTTTCGGGTGAGGGGGAGCAGGGCATTGCCCCTGGATGAGATGATAGCTGAAGAAGAGCTTCACTAACGGATAGAATCAGACTTAACTGGTTAAGTGACTATTCATCTCCACAAGACCCACACACAGGTCAATTGGGACAATGTGCCAAGTGCCTAAAAACCTTCAGGCCTCTTCTAATTTCAACACCTTATGCTCTGTTTAATATGATATATTAAAGCCTTAAAAATGAGCATAAATCTAGTGTTGCCTGGATGGCTCAGTGGGTTAACCGTCCACCTTTGGCTCAGGTCATGATCTCGCGGTTCGTGGGTTTGAGCCCCTAGTTGGGCTCTGTGCTGACAGCTCAGAGCCTGGAGCCTGCTTTGGATCCTGTGTCTCCCTCTCTCTATGCCCCTCACCCGTTTGCACGGTCCCTCTCATTCTGAAAGATGAATAAACATAAAAAAAAAAAGAGCATAAATCTTAACCTAGCTACAAAGAAAAATGTTTAATACAGAGTTGTTTTTATTTATTTTTTTTTTAATTTTTTTTTCAACGTTTATTTATTTTTGGGACAGAGAGAGACAGAGCATGAACAGGCGAGGGGCAGAGAGAGAGGGAGACACAGAATTGGAAACAGGCTCCAGGCTCTGAGCCATCAGCCCAGAGCCCGACGCGGGGCTCGAACTCACGGACCGTGAGATCGTGACCTGGCTGAAGTCGGATGCTTAACCGACTGCGCCACCCAGGCGCCCCTACAGAGTTGTTTTTAATTGTGAAAATCTGGAAACAAGCTAAACGCCCAGCAATTTTAGTTTAGTTGAATAAACTGAACTACAGTCATACAAAACAATATTATCATGTAGTCATTAAAAAATTTAAGTCATTAAAAAAATGATATAGTTTCTAATACCACAGAATGAAAATGTAACCAGAAAGGTAAGAAACAGTACAATGCTATTTTTATATTATACACCACACACACACACACACACACACACACACACACACACACACACGAATACACACAACGCAGAAGAAAAAAAAAACTTCAAAAAGTAAACATCACAATATTTTAGGTATCAATGTTTTGGTGGGAAGATTACAAGAGTTTTTTTTTCCCCCCTGCAATTCATGTAATTTTATAATGCAATTAATATTTTTAATTCTATGCATCTACAACTTCTAAATTTTTTCAAGACAGACCATTTTGGGTATTAGATTAAAAAGAGCCTAAAATGAATTAAGATAGAGTTTGAAACATTCATGTAACCTTTAGAGCAAAGTCTGAGAAGACTGAAACTTGTTATATATTACTTATTGTTCATTTTTTCAAACTAATTGTAATTTTTTTTATTCATCTTTGAGATACAGAGCATGAGCGGGGAAGGGGCAGACAGAGGGAGACACAGAATCGGAAGCAGGCTCCAGGCTCCGAGCCGACAGCACAGAACCCGACACAGGGCCTGAACTCACAAACTGTGAGATCGTGACCTGAGCTGAAGTCAGACGCTCAACCGACTGAGCCACCCAGGTGCCCCAAAACCAATTGTTTTATAAACAGAACACAATACCTAGGTTCATAATGTGGTTCTATCACTTACTGACTGCATGATCCTTGACATATAACATTTCTGTGCCTCAATTTCCTCATTTATAAAATAGGTCTATATAACTGAACCTGTTACAGGGTTGCTGTGAGAATAGTCACTATGTGTAAAGTGCTTGGAGTAGTGCCTAGCACAGAGCATATGCTCAAGAAATAGCAGCTGCTATTATTTGCTATTGTTACTTTACACCAGGGAAAAACCCTTCATCATTAAGGAAAAATCTAATATAAATGACACACTAAAGAAATCATTCTTCAGAGGTATTTTTTTCATTTTTTAGAGAAAGTAAGAGAGAATAAGTGGGGGAGAGGGACAAAGGGGGGGACAGAGGAGGCAGGAGAGAGAGAGAGAGAGAATATCTTTTTTTTTTTTTTTTTTTTTTTTTTAACATTTATTCACTATTGAGAGACAGAGAGAGAGCATGAGCATGGGAGGGGCAGAGAGAGAGGGAGACACAGAATCCAAAGCAGGCTCTAGGCTCCGAGCTGTGAGCACAGAGCTGGATGCAGGGCTCAAACCCACAAACCGTGAGATCATGACCTGAGCGGAAGTCAGATACTTAACCGACTGAGCCACCCAGGCACCCCAAGAGAGAGAGAGAATATCTTAAGAATCTTAAGCAGGCTCCATGCTCAGTGCAGAGCCTGGCATGGGGATCAATTCAATAACCCTGGGATCATGACCTGAGCTGAAATCAAGAGTCAGATGCTAAACATGACTGAGCCACCCAGGCGTCCAGCATCATTTTTATATAACATCAGTATAAAAAAATTTCAGGGGCGCCTGGGTGGTTCAGTCAGTTAAGCGTCCAGGGTCATGTCATGATCTCATGGTTTGTGGGTTCCAGCCCCGCATCGGGCTCTGTGCTGACAGCTCAGAGCTCAGAGCCTCATTTGGATTCTGTGTCTCCCTCTCTCTCCACCCTTCCCCTACTTATGCTCTGTTTCTCAAATATAAACAAACGTTAAAAAGCTTTTAAAAAAAAATTTCAGAGTTGAAATAGACCTGATAAGATTTTAAAGAAAATGTATATGTGTGAATGAGGTCAGAAAAACTAGGATCAAGAACTATAAAAATAATAATCATGTTTTCAATAATGGACAGCAAAAAGTTATTCTATTGGTTAAAAAATATGAAAATTTCTGTTTGAATCAATTTATTCTAATATGGTTATCTCTTAGATATTAAAAAGCAGAAAAATTTGTATTACATTTATTAGATATGACTAACCAGTGTTTTTTGTTATGACCTACTGGTAGTAAAACCAATTTAGTAAGTCACAACTAGCCGTTTTGTTCCATAATATAGAACAGTATCAAAAGAAATCAGAGAGTATCACACACAGTAGCAAGAATTGCTTCATAACATTTTGCAACAGTTAAAATATACATTTCTGTGTCTCTTGGGATGTGGTGTAAAATATGTCTTTTACTGTGTATCACAATCAAAAAGCTGGAAAAACACTGTTCTATACCAACATTTAAGATTTCACACATTAATCTGGATAAAGCTTACATTTATTTTGCTTTTGTAACTTTTATAATTCATATTACTAAAGTATACAATGGAGGGCAATATAAAAGTTGCTGAATCTTGATGGTGATCAAACATTAAAAAATATAGCAAACATAAAATGATAAAAGGGTTGTGGAGTTTGGGGTGATAATTTAAGCTCAGTAAAAGAAAAACAATGACCTATTTATGTGTGGCATTTGAAAAACAGGGAACAGAGAATATGGAATTTTCTTTATTAGACGTTCCAATACCAGGAAAGGCTACCTGATGTAGTAAATGGATCAGCGGCTTGAGCAATCTGACAAAACTAGGACAAGAGTCTCGGGTCTATACCTTCCTAGCTCTGTAACCTTCATCAGTTGACCTCTGAGATTTGGTTTTCTCACACTTCACAGGACTGTAAGGATTAAATGAAAGAATATACATCAAGCATTTAGTACCATGCTGCATATTTGGTGAAAAAGTATAAGCCCTCTCTTTCACAGTTCCAAAACTGTGAAAAAGTGAGATTTATTACACCAACCGGCATAACCGCACAACTTCTCCTGAGCACCCATTATAGTCATCTTCACCTAATCATACCTGGAAGATAAACCAGACAGAGCTTTCTTGAGGATCTCAGGGGTTCTATCTGAGGATGGTGGGATTTCTGGAATATCAGAATCGGTTCTGGAATCCAAATCTCCGTATCTATCATCAATATCTGTTTCCTAAAATTAAAGAAAAAGGAAAATCACTTTGCAAAATTGAAAAACGAAAAGAGTACATGCTTGCCAAGGTATTTAACTTATTGCTCAGTGTGTCAAATCTCAGTTACATAACTTGAAACAAAAAAAGAACTTTGAATAACCAAGCACTATTGTACTTCCTGTTAGAAAGTTTGATCATCTTTGCTAAAATCTATCAATATAAAGGATTAATTTAACCAAAAGACACAAATAGAAGCTCCTATATTATTTAAATCAGAAACCTACCAACAAGAGTCAAATGTTGGTTGTTTTGCTACTTAACTGAGAGAACATGTTAATTCCGATCAACTGCACAGTTTCCTTTTGATTACAATCAAAGCCATCAACAAAAGAGTGTCTTACACTGGCGTGCATATATATATATATATATGTATATATATATATATATATATATATATATATGCATATATACCATTTTCACTTCCTTCATTTTTATTAGATCCTCAAGAGACAACCTCAGTGAAGCAGGTCAAACAGACATTATAACCTGTTTTATGGATACATAAACTATGATCAAAAGCATTTTATTTGATGGTAATATTTTTTATAAAGTTATTTAAAATGCAAACTGACCTTTAAGAACACATGTACAGGAGCTGTGTGTATATGCTCTAGCCTTTGACAAAGGTGGTCACTGTGGAATTTCCAGGGTTTGAGTGACCAAGGAATTTTAAGAACAGATCTATCAAACATTGTTTTAAAGTTGTTCATTCAGCTCTAACGTGTCTCCACCCCTATGTCCTCCCCTCTCCCACACCCACCACCCTCCACCCCCAGCAACCTCGAGTAAAGAGTGCTACACATACATGTGCTTTGGGAGAGTGGTTTACAGACGGTGAAACTGAGGCAACGTGCTGAACTGGGCTGGAGGAAAGGGAATATTTACAGGTGAATATAAGCAGAAAGAACACTGAGCAGAACCTTGGGCCAGAAGTGATCCAAGGAATGAGTGCCTAGGAATTCAGAATGTTCCAGAATCTCAAACCGAACTGAGCCCTTACTAGCAACCAAGTTTTGGTAAATATCACCCCTTTTACCGGTTTCTTCATCCAAATAATGGAAGCATTTAATATAACACCAAGGACTCAGTAAAGTCAAAGAAGTAGGAAGCTATTATTATGATTGAATCAAGTCTTTCAATTCCTCATTAAGTAGCTTACCAAATAAAATTTTAGCCTCGGGAGAACACTTTCACAGGTTTTGTAAAGCAATAATAAACTTTTTGTTTACTAACTATAACTTTCTTATTAAACAATTATTAAATTAAATGTGTCATCATACCAAAAATAACAAATGAAATAGACATGCTGAATTCCCACTGCGACACCGAGTCAGTTGTCCTCAAAGCAGCTTAAACATAGAGAGATGTTGATGACTATAACCCACCAGACAGAACAACCCCTGAAAATGTCAGGGCACTGCTGCCAGTCTGACATGCCAGCAGGTCCTTGACATCTAGAATGATGGAACACATCACTTCTCTTTTCCATTTCCCTACCACCCTTTTTTTTAAACTTCAATAACCCAGAGTGTTGTAGGTGTGGTGTGAGTAGTGGTAGAGATGGTGATTAATGGACCTGGCTCCCTAAGGCAACATCACCATGTTGCAAAACAGCACTAGACTAGGAATCAGAAGTTGCCAGCACTAATTCCACCTCTACTCTATTACTGTGATGAAAGGCAAATCACTTGACCCTTTGGTTAAGAAACTCAGCCTTTGGGGGCACTTGGGTGGCTCAGTCAGTTAAGCAGCCAACTTCAGCTCACGTCATGATCTTACAGTTCACGAGTTCAAGCCCCATGTAGGGCTCTATGCTGACAGCTCAGAGCCTGGAACCTACTTCGGATTCTGTGTTTCCATCTCTCCCTGCCCCTCCCCTGTTCATGCTTTGTCTCTCTCTCTCAAAAATAAATGTAAAAAACATTTAAAAAATTAAAGAAAGAAAATACAAGAAACCCAGCCTTTGGTTTCCTCGTAAATTAAAAGCATTGGACTAGAACTCAAACTGTGCTCTTCCAAACACAAAGCTCTCAGCAAGCTACCTTAAAGTCTACTTGGCAATAATGGTGATGCGCCACAACTGCCCCCCCCCTCAAGATAGCTGCCCTGCTTTTATTTTCATTAATTAAGCTTCTGATTTCTATTTTATATACCTTAAAGAAACTCAAAATGAAACTCTGAAGATTTAACTACGCTTTTTCGATTCCATTCTAATAACTAAAGAATGAAAGATGATTCCAAAATAATGATATTTTAGAGCTATGTTACTCAAATATTGGAAACCCATTCAGTTAGGAGCAAGCCCATCACTCATCTTTTCCCATCTCCATCCTCACCCACTGCTCTGTCCTTGCTGAACATCATCCCCTCTCACATAGCTCATCCCCCTGCCCTCTAGCCTGCCTCTCAAATTCATTTCAACATAAAAATAATCTTTCTAAATTGCAAATCTGATTTTACCACTCTGCAGCCTGAGGCCACCGGGACAAAGCCAAACTACTTAGCATTGCTTTTACTGTTCTTCATGATGAGACCCTGCTCTTCCAGCCCCTCTTTGGTGACTCCCCAGTTTTCACAGTGCCATACTCTCTTGAATGCAGATGTTTGTTCTATGTACAAAGTACAAACTGCACACTTTCTCTCTTGCTCTCATCCCAGTTCCCATCTCCACATCTAGCTACTGTCCCTCAGCCTGTGACCTCAGCTTCCAGGTTATTTCCTTTGAAAAGGTCTTTGCTCACCTCCAGCTCCAGGTTAGCTGTTCTTCAACTGTGCTTCCACAGTTCCTCTAATTTTTACATATTAGTTTACATCAAAACTATTTGCTTGTCTTTATTTTCCAGTAGTCCACAGGCTTTGTGAGAAGAGGAAATACCATTCACTGGCCTCACTCTCAAATCCTAAGAGGTCAGCAAAGGAACTTGCCCAGTGGCTGGCTTTTATGAAACACTACATGAATATGTGTTGAATGAATTGAGTCTGTCAACTCATGCTAACATTTAAGATTAAAATAAGTTCTCATCTGTTCTTGCTAGTTGAGTAGTTTTGGCCAAGTTACCATGCTTGAAACCTCATTGCACTTATTTACATAAAATGAAGGCTTCGGACTATGCAGAACTACTATTTTCCAAATACTAAACGTTAATGAAAATATGTCTGAGAGGGGTGCCTGGGTGGCTCAGTGGGTTAAGCGGCCGACTTCGGCTCAGGTCATGATCTCGCGGTCTGTGAGTTCTAGCCCCCCGTCGGGCTCTGTGCTGACAGCTCAGAGCCTGGAGCCTGCTTCAGATTCTGTGTCTCCCTCTCTCTGACCCTCCCCGTTCATGCTCTGTCTCTCCCTGTCTCAAAAATAAATAAACGTTAAGAAAAAAAGATTTTTTTAAAAAAAGAAAATATGTCTGAGAAATGATGGATAAAAGTCAAAGAAATAAGTTTATTATCTTGTAAATCCAATTCCTACGGTAAAAGTATACTTAGAAAATAAGAGCAAAACACTTTAAAAATATGGACTTATTTAACAGCCCTCACATTACCACAGAGGTAGGTAAATAATCATTTCCATTTTCTAGGTGAAAAAATTTAGGATCCAAAAGGTTAAGTGCCCATGTTTACACAGCTCTAAGCAATATAGCTTGCATTTGAAACCACACAGGAGGGAAAATAAAAGGACAATTCTCCCCCAAGTTGATCCACAGATTCAGTGCAATCCCAATAAACATCTCAATAGGCATTTTTTTCTTTGTAGACATGTACAGGCTGATTCTAAGAGTTACATGAAAAGGCAAAAGACCTAGAAGAGCCTAAGCAGCATGGAAAAAGAACAAAGTTGAAAGACTTACTTTAAGAGTTATTATAAAGCTGTAATCAAGCTGTTGTACGGGCATAATAGAAAAAATGATCAATGGAACAGAATAAGGAGTCCAGAAATAAATCCACACATACAGTCAAATGATTTTCAACAAAGTTGAAAGGTAATTCAATATGATGCTAGAACAACTGTATATCCATATGTTAAAAAGGGAACAGAACTTTGCTTTATATCTCATATCACTTACGAAAATTAATTCAAAATAGATCACAGACATTTACATAAAACTATAAAACGTACATATCTTTGAGAACTTGGGTTAGGCAAAGATTTCTTAAATATAACAATGAAAGTGTGATCTATAAAGGATAAAATTGACAAACAGAACTTCAACAAAATTAAAACTTTCTGCTTTTCAAAAGACACTAGTAGGTGAGCAAGAAAACAAGCCATAGACTAGAAAAAGATATTTGCAAATCACATTATCTAGTAAAAGCCTTGCATCCAGAATATATAAATAATTCAAAATTTAATTTTAAAAAATCCACTCAAAATACATGGGCAAAATATCTGAATAGCCAATACACCAAAGGCAATACACAGATGGCAAATAAGCATGAAAAAAATGTTCAACATCATTAGTTATTAGGGAAATGCAAGTGAAAACCACATACAACACTACTATGCATCTATGAGCATGGCTAAATTTAAAAACAATACCAAACTGATGGAGAAAATGTGGAGAAACTGAAACTCTCATGCACTGCTGGCAAGAATGTAAAATGGTAAAACCACTTTGTAAAATAGTTTGAGTTTCTTAAAAAGTTAAATATACATCCATCACATGATGCAGTCATTCCACTCCTAGGCATCTGCCCAAGAGGAATGAAAGTATATATCCACACAAAGACTGTACATCAGATGTTCACAGCAGCTTGATTTGTAATATTTCCAAACTGGAAATAACTCAAATGTCCAACAGGGAAAAGAACAGGTTGGGCTATATCATATAAAGGAATAATATGGGTGACTATCAAAATAATTTACACTGAGTAAAAAAGCCAGATAAAAATGTACATACATATGTTTATATGCATACACATATGCATAGAATTCAATTTATACAAACATTTTAGAAAATACAAACTCATC